ACGTGGACGTTGTCGACAGTCGGGTGACGCTCGATGAGGACAGGACAGCCGTCCTGGATAGTGGCGTCAACGCGGCAGCGTACCATAAACCGCGTTCGAGCCTTGAGACGTAGCCCTGATGTCGTGAGTAATGGTGCGACAAAGGGTGATAGGTCATCTGTTGGCCCGGGGCGACAAGGGTCTGGTGGTTCGTCGGATCCTGGCGAGGTGTCGCGGCGCAGGTGGAGGGTAGCGCACAAGTGGGGGGAACCCGCCTCGTCCGTCAAGAAGGGAATGGTCTGGTTGGTGTTCCAGAATCGTAGCAGGCTGTTTGTCGTGTCCACCAGGGCGCCGAACCTGCGCAGGATGTTGATCCCCAGGATACAAGGGGTCACGGTGGTTCGCATGACCCACACCGGAAACCTCACATCCTGGTCGGCCAGCCGTACAGTCGCCGTCCATACCCCGAGAACGGGCATGGGCGTGTTTTCGGCCGACACGAGTCCGGTGCGTGGTCGACGTAGCTCCGGCGACCCAATGTTCGTCCAAAGGTCCTGGCTGATGACAGTGACGGAGGCACCAGTGTCGACCAGGGCAGTGGTCGAGCGCCCATCCACACACACAGGGATGATTGGTGCTTCTGCGGATGATACCACCCCGGCCTGGCTATGAAGAAACCTTCCGCTGGCAACTTACCTCCCCACCGGACTCGCTCATCCGGTGCTGGTTTGATGGCACCCGCCGCCCCGACGAGCCAGATCCAGTAGTGCCGATCTTCGATATCCACATGTCGAGAGTCGGGAAGTTCGGCCATATCGCCCCGGGAGATAGCGTCAATCTGGGCCGCAGTGGATCCCGGGGTGATATCCGAGTCCTGACGAAGGTCCCAGTCCGGGTGCTCCCGACGGTTACAGCACTAATAGTCCCGACCCCCGAACATGCCAAAACCGGGTCCGGACTACCTAGCACCGGGATCGTTGAGTCTCGAGATAGGGCTCCTGGCTCCTCAGCGTCACTCGTCTCTTCCGGGAAAGTGGTCAATGGGCCTCGGACCCGAGGCATGGTCTGGGACAGGACGGAGGCAGCACCCCGAGGTGCCAGAGAATATTCGTCAGGCGACGCACTAGCGTCGAGGGTGTTCGGTTCAGTTTGTAGACACGAACATTCTTCTTTTGAGGGTTCTGCATACATGCCCTCCCTCCTCTTCCTTGTCTTCTCCCCCGACCGTTTGTCGAAGCGAGTCATCCCGGCGCTGTGTCCTGTGTATACACCCGTGGTCCCGGAGATCTCTCCAATTGTGTTGATGCTCTTCTCTTCATTGCAGAGTTCTGTGTATATCCCCTTCTCTTCTTGTCTTCGCTCCCGTCCATTTGTCGACGCGAGTCATCCCCGGCGCTGTGTCCTGTGTATATATCCGCGGTCCCAGAGGTCTCTCCAATTGTCTTGTCTCTTCCAGGCGCCTCGTCGCACCCTCTTCCTACGTCAGTCTGTTGCCGTAAAGTCGCTTTCGCTCCCGGAGCTCCAATCGTTCCGCCTTCTTTTGTGCTCACGGTGCTGTCTCCGGGAGTGGTACGGGGCGCGGTTGCGCACCGACCCGTGCCTTTTGTCGGAGGGAGGTAGCATCCTGGCTTATGTCTGTAACCTGTCTTCAGGGCGCTCCTGTATCCCGTCCTCTTGTTGCACGTCCTTGTTCCGCAGAGCCCGGGACTCCCTTCGTTTGCGGGGGTCGGCTCGCCATGCCATTCTTCGTATCGTCGCCCAGCCCCGGAGCAGCCCAGGGTTCGATTGTCGCCGAGTCCGTACCACCCCGGGGGAGGTATCTTCTATCTTGTATGAGTCCTGGGATCCTTCCTCATCCTCCGGAGAGGGCGAGGATATCCCAGGGCTACGTGTACTTTGTTTGTTTTCATCTTCGGAGGTCATTTGCATTCTGGCGGTCAGTATCACGCCACATCCGGCGGCTTGGTTCAGACCGCTGAGTCCTCATTGTTTATCGGAGTCGGGGCGCCTTCCGTGGATTGCTTGTTGTCCAACATATACCAGGATTGCAGGGCAGCCACGACGTGGGCCGGCATAGAGCTTTTCTTGGACGTGTTCAACGGACAACCCCAGCTCAAATGGTCCATCTTCCCACAGGTGTAACAGGTTGCATTTTCTCCTCGTCCTCCGTGTCCCGTTCGGGTTTGTCCCGGGCCCCAACCTCCGTTGTCGCGGGACAGGCTGCACTTCGATAGTCCGTGACCTTTGGAGTGGCACCGAGTACAGAACCACGACAACCGAGGACACTGATCACGAGAGTGGCCCCGCATGGTACACCTCCCGCAAATGACCTCACCCGACTTAGTTTCGTCGTCCGGATCCATGCTGCCGGGTTGTCCGTAGAGATCATGGCTACGACATCTTGGATGGAGGAAAACTGGTCGTTGTTAGAGGTAGTCAAGCTCGTCATATCCCGTTGAAGTCATGAGATGGAGGCCTGGAGCTCCTGGAGATTTCCATTGGGCGTCGAAGAGGACTGGGTCCGGGACGTGTTCCGAGAGGACCTAGTCGGCGTCGACGGAGCCACCGGTGTCGTCCGGGGGGCCGATCGGGAACCATCCGTTCGTCTGTCGATGTCCACATCTCGCTCAATCAGGTAGTCCAGGCTCATTTCGATAGTCTCAGGTCGAACAGAGGCTCCCCGGAGGCACGCGGCCACTTCCGCATCGCTACATCCATTGATCATCATAACCACGGCCCTATTGGCCTGCAACCCAGCCTCCCGGGAGGCGTCCGCGACCCGCCACGAATACTCCCGGACGGTTTCCGTAGACTTCCGGTGGGAGTTGTCAGTAATATCGGCCATCTTTCGACTCGATGTCTTCTGAATGAACTCCTTCCGGAAAGCCTCCCGAGCCTCCACCCAGGAGACTGGTTCGCTGTCACTGCACCATCGAGCCCACCAGTCCTGGACGGAAAGTACCCCACAGGATGTCACGCGGTCATCGAAGATTCGAACGACCTGGGTATCGTTGAGCCCGTACTCCTTCTGGATGGTATCAACTTCGCCAGAAAATGTTCCAAAGGGATGGTCCGGTCGACACTATCGAACTTGGGCGCGTACTTCCGAGCATCGCGCATAGCCTGACGTGAAGCCGAACGAGGCTCCAGGGGTGAGTTGGGCTGTCCGAGACCAGTGCCGTCTCCTCCGGGGCCGCCAGCCGGAGGGCTAGTAGAACCACCGTAGTACTCGCCGGATCCTCCACCACCAGGAGGTCCCGGAGGGTCACCTCGGCCACCGAAGGGTCCATCATAATCACCCCATTCGGTCCACTTCCAGGAGGTGCGGGAGAATTCGTTTGACCTGAGTAACCACCCCCGTAGCTACCCCGGGGGCTGTAAATCTCCACCACCGGGTTGCGGACCATAGGAGGCCTGTGGGGCATACCCCGACCCGGTTGCACGAGGGGATGACTGCGTGTACCCTACTCCGAGCTGCTGGCCAAAGGCCCCCGAGGACGGGTACGAGTCAGCATCGCGGTTGGGTCGTGACATGGGAGCCGCCGTCGGCACAAACGGTAGCGGTGTGGTGTCCCGGACCGTAAACGTTGGTGGCATCCGGAGCGAAGCTGATTCTGTCAGCACCTCAATCTGCTGCATAAAACAGGTTTGGTCGAAGGCTCGGTGAGGCGTAGACGTGTTTGAGCGGGTGGTCAGGAGCAAGGGCGCCGTAGTAAACGTAGTATGCGTGATCCCGCTTCCTTTAGACGGAGACCCCATCCGGGACAGAGTCGGGATCCCATATGACGCGTACGGGGCATTGTTCGTCTTCCGAGGTGTCCTGTTGGAGTTCCACAGCTCTTTGTTCCACTTGTAGCTGGGCCCGCTGGCATTCCAACTCCGCATACGCCTGGCTCAGGGTGAGGTCCTGGACCGACCGTTCTCTGAACAGGGTAGCTTCTTGATCCCTCAACTGCGATTTCTCCGTTTCCGAACAGGAGCGCGCTTCCTCTACTTGGCGCAACACCTCTTTGTTGGCGTGCCTCTCCCGTTCCAGCTGAACCCTTGTCCCGAGCGAGGGATCTTCTCCGGACTGAGCGCGTTCTTGGGTAAGTGTCATGAACTGCTCATGGACCAACTGTTCAAGATCCTGGTGGCGTCCTTGTTCCGAAAGCAGGGTCTGTTCGTACCGATTCTGCTCGGTCAGGATAGACTCCTGGAGTTCCCGGACCGTCTCTTCCCTCTCCCGGAGACGCCGATGCTCTTCTTCCCAGACTCGTTCCATCCTTTGGCGTCGCTGTACTTCCTCTTCCAGCCTCCGTTCCCGTTTCCGTAGGGCTTCGCTGAGGTCCTGCTTTTCCCTTTCCAGGATCGGGCAATTTCCACAGGCGACGTTCACAGACTCCCGGAAAGAGAGGTTCTGGAGGGCCTCCTGTACCGACTCGAGTTCCGAAGCCTTCGACTAGACTTCGTCCCGGGCCGAAGCCAGGTCATACCTGTGATTGAAGTAGGTCATAGGCCTTCGATGTGGCCTCGTCAAGGGCAGCTTCCCGTACTAGAAGGATTTCCTCTTGATGGTTCCGCTTGAGGGTCCAGAGTTCTTCCCGGAGACTCGACATGAGGCCGTCGTGACGCAGATGGTCCTCCCAGCGGCGCACTTCGAGAACCCGTTCCGCATCCTTCTGGACCCGGGACAGGACTTCTTCATGCAGACGGCGGGCCACCAGGATGTCGGAGTCCTTGTCCCGTATAAGGAGGGCTTCATGTTGTTCCCATTTCTGTGCCAGTTGTTGTTCGAGTTCCCGGGTCCGGTCCTCCCAAGAAGAGAGCATTCTTTTCCGCTACCCGGGTGCAGAGCCTCGTTCGCTTCGTTCTTTACTTGAGCCCGGGCAACGTCCAGTTCCCGAGTATAGCAGTCCCGGAGGTAGGTCAGGGCCTACTGGAACTCATCCTGACGGCAACTTTAATGGGTTTCTACGGCCTGTAGCAATCCTTCGGCGATATCACGGGTCTGGTCACGGGACCAGACCCGTGACCAGAGGCTACTTTCGCAGTAGGCGTTCGCTGTCCAGGAGTCCAAACTCCGGGGCATCTCCCGCCAGACGGCGTGATTGGCGCACCACTGTCATCGTGGGTTCTTCTGTCGACATCTTTCCTTTCTTTTCCGCGCTTCCTTTGCAAACATCTACGCTGCTGCTCCACCAGAATGTCGCGGGGTTTCACGACAAAACGAATGGGTAGGTACGGCGTAGGCAAGCGTGTAAAACACCAAACGCGTAGTTCAGGGCAAAATGTAAAGTCGAGTTAGTTGGTTTAGCTTCAAAGAAAAGAGTATGACTAATGGATAATCCAGGTCCAGGACGTCCGGATTAATTGAGTTTGGATTATCATTTTTAAGACATTCCTCCGCGAGGGCCGACACTAGAACCACATGTTATGGAACCGCTTCGCCAATTGTAACGCGCCTGCTCGACCAGGGGCGGTGTGTAATCTTCGGTTTTTACTTCGCGCAACGCTTCATACCTCGTGCTTCGACCGATCTTCTTCGAAGTTCGGTCCTCGTCTTCGTACGCAGCTTGTTATCCGGATTCCCCAGGAG